GATTTGGCAAGAAATTGGATTTGAGGGTGACACTTAGATTGTGACACCAAAAAGGTGACTGGGAGGATAGTGGAACCCTCAAATGTAATAGAGAAGTTCAGAAAAGGAAGGGTTAAGGGGCAGGGGGGGAGATAATTGAGTTCTTATTTGAAGATGTCTACTAGACATACCATTTGAAATGTCCAATAGGCAGCTGGAGATGAGAGACTGGAAGTCAGGAGAGAAGTTAAGGCTAGTAAGTAGATCTGAGAATTATCTGCATAGAGATGATAAAATCACCTTGGGAGATAATGAGATTACCAAGCAAAACAGTAAAGAGAAAAAAAAAAAGAAGAGAGCCCAGGATAGGGCCCTGGAAAACCTGCAAAGGACTGAGGAGTGGTCAGAAAGGAGAACCAAGACAGAACAATGTCTTAGAAATCTACAGAGAAGAGAATATCAAGAATAGAGTGACTGAGAGTATAAAATGCTACCGACATCAGGAGGGATGAAGGCTGAGAAAAAGCCATTAAATTTAGCAATTATGAGATCCCTGGAGAGAGCAATTTCAGTTGAATGAGGTCAGAAGCCAGACTGCAGGGAGTTAAGAAGACAGTGAGAGGAAAGGAACAGAGGCACCATTGTAGACAGCTTTCTCAAGGAGTTTAGCCACCAAAGAGAAGACGACAGCTAGTGGGGAGGGGTGGACCAAGTGATAATTGATCAAGTTAAGAATAAGATGAGGCACCTTTCACAATGAAGGCAAGGGGGAAACTTCTGACGCAAACAAGGGATAAAAGAGATCATAAAAGACAAAATAGACAATTCTGATCACATAAAATCTTAAAATAAAAAAATCTTTCACACAAATGAATCAATGAAGATAGAATAGAAGGGGGAAGAACCTGGGAAGGACCTGGGTTATCTTAACTCTTCTACTTATTACTTGTGTGACCTTAGGCAAGTCCCTTAACCTCTCTGGGCCTCAGTTTCCTCATTTGTAAAATGAGGGAGTTAGATAGTGAGCTGTGGGGTCCCTTCCAGTTCTAAATCTATGATTCTATGATCCTTATAATCCTAAAATATAAAGAGGGGGTGGGGAATGGCATCAAGTATTACCAGTGAAATTCTTAGATCTAATATACACTGGGAACACAAATGACACAAACATGTAACACCAAAAGCCACTGCCCAATAAATTGCCAAAGGGTATGAAAGTTTTTGAAAGAAAAATTTCATTCTATAAATGACCATTAGAAAAATAATTAATAGTAAGAAAAACACAAATTAAAACCATCTTAAGGTTTTACCTCTTACACCCTACAAACTGGAAAAGATGACAAAAAACATTCATTGTCGAAGAGGTTATGGGAAGACACACTAGTAAACTACCGGCAGAGCTGTGTTGGGCCAGCCCTTCTATCACTTTGGAATTATATAAGAAAAGTAACTAAACCTTTCATATTCCTTAGACCCAGTAATTCCACTATTGGATATATACAACAAAAAAGTCCAAGAAAAATACAAAGATTGAAGATATACCAAAGTATCAATACAGTACTCTTTGTGATAGCAAAGAACTGGAAATAAAATGAGTGACCATCAGTTGGAGAATGCCTGGAAAATGGATAACATAGACACATCAATGCTCTGCTGGTGGTGGAGGTGTTAACTGAGACAGCTGTCCTGGAAAGCAGTGTGAGCTATACTCTCCTTTACTCAATGATACCACTACGAAGTTTATACCGCACCCCCCCCCCCCAAAGAGTCTGTCAAAGACAGAGAAAGAGCCCACTTGTAATAAACGCCAGCATTTGTATGGCATTTGAAGGTTTGCAAAAGGCTTTACATACATTACCTAATTTCATCTTTACAACAACTCTGTAAGGCAAGTTCTATTATTATCTCCATTTTACAGATGAGGAAACTATATAGAGGCAGGTAGGAGCACTCACTGGACCTGCTGTCAGGAAGACTGAATTCAAATCCAGACTCAGAGAGTTACTAGCTGTGTTACCCTGGGCAAGTCACTTAACCGCTATCTGCCTCAGTTTCCTCAGCTGTAAAATGGGGATAATAATAGCACCTACCTCTCAAGGTTGTTGTGTATAAAGCACTTGGCAAGGGCCTGGAACACAGTAGGAGCTTAATAAATGCTTGTTTCCTTTCCCTTCTCTCCCCCACCTTCACTAACTGTGGGTATCCTCCAGGAAACTGAGGCTGAGCGGGGTTAAAAGACTTGCCCAGAATCACAAAACTAGTAGGTTATTTGAGACAGGATTCAAACTCAGGTCTTCCTTTGCCTAAATTCAACACTCCATCACATACTGCACCACTTAACTGCTCTAATATACAAAAAATACTGTACAAAAATATTTATGGCAGCACTTTGTACCGTAGCTGAGACTGAAAACAAATTAGGTAGCATCAAGTGGAGAACGGCTGAACAAATCATAGCACATGAACGTAAAGTTATACTATTGTATATGGAGTGACAAACATGATGGATTCAGAGAAACCTAAGAAGACATTTAAGAACCATTTTAGCAGGTTCAAGTGAACAGAACCAAAAGAACAACTCACAGAAGGATCTCAATATTATAAAAGGAAACAATTTTGAACGACTCTTCAGAACTCTGAACGATACGATGGACCAATCATGGCTGGAGAAGACTGACGATAAAGTTCACCACGTCCTGGCACAGAGGTGAAGTACACAGGTACAGAAGGGGGCCAACATTTATAGACAGAGCAGGTGCAAGGAACTGACTTTGCTTGACTCCCCTTACTGGGTATAGGCAGAGGCATGCTGGGGTCAGCTCCTATGGAAGCCAGGGGTTAAGTTTTCAGGGTGAACATCTTCATCTTGGAAATAGGCAAACACTACAAGTCAGTACTGTTGTACTGCTGACTGTCTAGATTTCATAAAGTGAAAATTTTAATACAGATTAACTTAAAAGTGTGTCATGTCTATATTTTTTCCCAGAGAGCCAGTTGTTAAACATTTGCCAACACACCACTAAGGTACTTCTATTTTGAGACAGGGAAAGGTTGGTGCATAATGAGAGCCATGCAAAAAGCAAACAAAAAGAAAGGAAAGAAAAGAGTAACAATGAAACATTCTAAGAATACACAGAAGGAAGGAGGAAGTTCAGAAGGGGACACAGAGAAGCAGGGCAATTATACAACTTAAAAACTATGTAACAGAAGTTTAGTTCACCTAAAATCTTTCCTCTCTTTCTTTGCTTATTGAAATGTTCAATGTACCAACGTTTCTTAAATTCCCCCCAAAAAAGGAAAAAAATTTAAAACATGGCATATGACTTTAGTTGAATATGACCAGGTGGTAAAAAGTGGTGAATATGAGGAATTCAGAGAAGTACTGGCAGATCTGTGGGAACTTCTCCAGAATCAAATAAGCGGAACTAGGAGAAGATACCCGGTGATGACAATAACGCAAATGAGGAGAACACCTTTAAGAGGAAGCTGAGCTCAAAAGTATTTAAAATATCAGTGAAAGTCCAGGGGACTGATCATGAAGCCTTTCACAGACACCATACCGATCTCATATGATTGTCTCTCTCACTAGAATGCAAACTCCTTAACAATAGGGCTCCTTTTGCTTGTTCCCAGTGCCTGGAATGTAGGAGGCACTTAATCCAGGCTTGTTGACCGACTGAATGATACATTTTCCCTTCTCAGCAGAATTCAGTGATGATACTGGACGTTTTTGCTATAATTGTTCTTTTTTTTTGGCAATGGGGGTTAAGTGACTTGCCCAGGGTCACACAGCCAGTAAGTGTCATGTGTCTGAGGCCAGATTTGAACTCGGGTCCTCCCGAATACCAGGGCCGGTACTCTATCCACTGCGCCACCTAGCTGCCCCTAATTGTTCTTCTTTCTCACAAGGCGGTTGGAGGGAGTTCAATCTGGAGGGCAGTGAAGGGTTTTTTTCCTCCAGAGATAATTGTCTCATAAAGACAAAAGATATCAATAAAAAATGTATCAAAAATCAAATAAACTGTTAATAAACCTCTCTAAAAGGATCCAAGGATCCCAGATCTAAAGCGGGAAGGTACCTCAGAAGCCATCGAGTGCAATCCCTTTATTTTACAGATGAGGAAACTCAGGATAAATGACACGCCCAAGGTCAAGTCACTTAAGCATCAGAAACCAGGTCCTCTGACTCCAGCGCCAACGTGCCTTCAACTGCACTTCAGACTTCCTGCTACAAGCAAAACCCAAGTACTATGCAATGAAAACATCTAAGAGATTATAAAGTAAACACTCTATATCAACGGCAGTCACTTCCATTGCTAAAAAAGAGATCACGTGGCAAAAATTTAATAGTATCCAGCTGTCTCTTCAAGTCTTGGGTTGTTCTGTTATCAGACGATTTTTCAGGTCCACGGATAAATAGAATTGCAGTGACATCTAATGGTCACAAACCATGTCACATCTACAAATTTCCCAGTAGTATTTCTATTGAACATGAACATTCCCAATGAAAAATGAAAAAAATCGGGTCATTTTTAAGCGACACACACTAAATTCTAAACTTAAATTCTATTATTTCAGCAGCCTGCAATGACTTGAATGACCATCAGAAACCACGGTTCATATTAAACAAACAATCTCATTTTATTACTCCACACTAGCTTGGTTACTTAAATTTCTATCCAAAACATCAGTTTAAATGTTACTGATAAGAATAAGTAGACATGGTACTAATAACCTGTCAATCACTTAAAATTACCTTCCACAAAATTCTGAGCATACTTTCTGAAAAACACAATTTGCATTCTGAACATTTGGAGAGCAGATACCTGTTGCCCTCAGTCCAATGATCTGAATGTACATCATCTCTCTCTTGCTTCCCTGAATAATTATCAGAGAATGTAAAGAGCATCAGGGATAGCATTTACTTTTCAGCAAGCTATCCAAATATAATCATCCAGTCATCAGCATAAAGAGGCAAGCAAAGTGAGTACCACCTTCAGGCAATATAAATGCACTCTTACCAACTCCAGCTGCTTTCATAGTCCAGTCTTCTTTTAACAAGAGTCTGTCATCATCTTCTAAACTCAACACAAGCTCATTAGTCTATAAAGGAAAAAATGAAAAAAAGGACATTAATTTTAGCAGCATTTCTAAGGCTCTATATTCCATAATGGATTCTAGGACTCTCAAACTGAGTCAGATTATTTTAGAGTACAATAACTAGAATAAAGGAAATGTATGAGAAAAGACCCAACTATTCATGTTGGGTCTAAAAACGTGACTAAACTAAAAAGTATTTGGAGATATTTCAATGAGAAGTTTAATTTCACGTACTTTTGTGAAATGACATTTACCAACATGGTAGAACTTCATTAACACAGACTCTATTAATTAGTACCTTATGATAATTCAGACAGAATCTCTGTTGTCTAGAAAGGAAGGGCTAAACATAAACATGGGGAAAATTTCACTTATTTTACAGAAAAAATGGAGACCTTATGTGTTATAGAAGAATTAACTCATTCCTTCATTCGACTTACTTATTAAGCAATGAATTTCCCATCAGTAGATATGCTCAAGACAAATCCATTCTCTTCATCAAAGCAGGTTATTTATAGGATCATAAGATGACAGATGTAGAGTAGGAAGGTGCTTTAGAGTCCATCTAGTTCAACCTTTTCACTGTACAAAGCAAGAAACTAAGGCCCAAGGAGATACAGTGATTTGTCCAACGACACATAGGTAGTATCAAAGGTGAGATTCGAACCCAAGTCCTCTGATACCAAATCCAGCATATTCTCCACTGCCTCCTCACTGGGCAACACTTTTTAACCTAATAATCTAATTCCAATTACATTTACTAGAAAGTAATCAAATTGAATTTCTTTTGGTTATAATTCAAACTTTTAACTAATTAAGCGAGTTGCATAGGAATGGAACCTTTATTCCTATTTCCATGCCTTTACCTATGCTGTTTCCCACTGCTCAGAATGTCCTATCCACTTATCTAAAAACTTTCCAGCCTTCAAAGCCCAGCTCAAGTCCTCCGTCTTCATATAACTCTTTCCCATCATGATCTCTCTCTTCTATCGTGTTCCTTCTGAACTCAGTCAGTTCCATAGTTTAGCATTTAATTGTTATCTGATTGCTTCATGTGTCTTTCATCCCTCACTGGATTTTAGCTGTGTGGAAAACAGAGACCATGTGTTTCACTTCTTTCATATCTGCCATCATGCCTAACACAGTGCTAAATACATAAGAAGCACTTCATCAAGACTTTTCTTTAACTGATTTCATTGATAAAGAAAATTCCTGGCATTAAAGCTTTTTCTATCAATGCTGATCATCAACTCACTTAAAACTTAGAAGAGTTATCTGGGTGCACCGAGTGATTAAAGTTCTCGTTCAGAGACACATAGATGCTAGATCAGAAGTAGGACGTGAATCCAACACAATACAATGTCTCTCTATTAATTTGTTAATATTTTATTAAATTAACTGATAGGATTGTTTTTTAAGGCTTATTATTCTACTTTTGATTGAAACATTTCTCCCTCCCTGATGAGGTCTGTACTTGACAGTATATGTCAATGTTGAAAGCATAGGAAGACCCTGGGTCAGTCATGTAACCCTTCCGTTCCCTCAGGCAGTTCTCTAAAACTACTGCATTGGAAGATGTTCCTTGCTGGGAATTCCCAATACCAATGAAAACAAAGCTCTAGAGCAGGGATGGGGAACTGAATTCAGTCAAAGGGCCGTATTTGAGGACCCAGAGGGCCACAGGTTCCCCATCTCTGCTCTAGGCCAAAACCCTACAAACACCAAGACCTTTTCATAGGTGGTTAATTTATGTATAATAGAATAGTTTCCATAAGGCTAAGACATAGCCTGAAAGCTTAGCTGCTTGAATCAGTCTCTGATAAGAGTTTCTTTAATGCAGAAAAAAATATTTCTTAATTGAGGGTCAGTGGGTTCTAATTAATCAAGGTTTTATTCTGCAGTTCACTAGTTCATATCTAAAAATGTCCAATTTACAAACATCTACTATGTGTAATGGGTAAAGTTGCCCTAATCACAGACTCCCCTCTTCCAGTGCTCTCTACCTTGAAAGAATTACCTATACCTTCCCTCCCTGCTACTATATGCTGTGAAACCCTGCCGCCGACCCAGCCCTTTTGAAACTCAAAACTCATTTTCCCAAAAAACAATGGGAAATTAGCCCCCCCATTGATTTTCATAATTACAACCCCAAGCTAGTTTAAATTATGGTCTGCATACTTCAAGAATGCAGGGACATATGTAATACATTTTTGAAAGATTTCTAACAAAACAGCTAACATATAAAGTTTTGGCCAGTTATCAATAAAAATTAGGTACCCAGAATAATTAGTAAACCAAGAGTTTACAGATCAGAATTATAGAATGTAAGATCAACTAGTCTAATACTTTCAATTCATAGATAAGGTAACTAGAGACTAAAGAAGTTAAGTGAATTGCCAAAGAAGGTAGAAAGGAACTTAGGCAGAACTTGAACCTAGGTCTGCCTTACATTTTCTTTCTACATCACCAGCTGAACAGTTAGCCACAGTGTGTCAGCAAACATTTATTAGTTTGCATACATACTTTCTAGGGAATACTCTTGGGCATAATTGAAAATAACAGGCTCTAGATGACTGAGTTTCTAGATTTCTGAAGATTATGCCTATAAGAAAAGCAGCATGAAATAATGAATAGACAGCCACCCTTGGAGTCAGGAATATCTGGATTTAATTACTGTCTCTCTGACAGGTGCTGGCTGCAGAGCCCTGGGCAGGTCATGTAACTTTTCAGTTCTCCTAGGAAATTCTCTAAGACTAGTGTATTGGAAGATGCTGCTTGCTGGGAATTTCCAATACCAATAAAAACAAAGCTCTGGACCAAAACCCTAAAAACACCAAGACCTTTTTATTGGGACTATATTCGTATATAATAGAATAGTCTTCATCAAAAAACGTTAGGATTCAACAACATATTACATAATTTTCTAACTATGGAAACTATATAGAACTAAAATCAATTTCTTGATGACAATATATGTCAACATAATTTAGTAATTCAACAACCTGTGATTTCATTAGTTTATGTATTCTTTCTTCCGCTTTGATTTAATGGACAGTCTTCAAGACTAATTGTGACTGACAACATTTATCAGTCTTCATCAGCACCGTGAAGAGCCTCACCAAACTTAGCTAGGGTGGTCCTCAGGAAAAAGGAATAAGAGTCCATCATCAAGCCTGCATTTAAAGACTTTCTATCTTACGAGTATCTGCCAGCGTTAACATTCCCCAGGCATAAACTTTGAAAACCCAAGGTCCCACCTCCAGGCCACATTAAAGCATCATCATGATAACTATTTCATGATGACATTGATGCAGATGTCTTAGGACATTGGGTTTGGTGTTTTACTGAACCCAGGATCTGACCTGGGACTTAATTTTTAAATCCCCAAATATAAGTTTGATTTCTTATCACTTGACTCTTCAATTAAAAGTGTTATAGAATACATAACTCCTTATGTAACATGTCTGTGTCTCCTATGTTAACTTTTTAATCAAAGGTTGAAGCAATCTCTTCTTATGAGGTTATTTTGCCTTAAAGATAGAGATGATGGAAATTTTATTTATCATAATGACTTCTAATAGCATTAAAAATATTCTCTTATTTTATTTCAGTTTCAATATAACCATGTCAACCCACCTTCCTGCTTCATAAAAGTGCTCCATCCTGTGGACTTTAAGGATACTACTGCTAGACTGTTAAAAACCAGGCTGTATTTTTGCAGTTATAGGCATAAATGAGACAAATTATCTTCTGCTGATCATTTCTTTCTAAGTCCCTATATTGCCAGTTCCTTGAGAATTCTAGGTGCCAGAAAGGCAAGGTTTCACATTGTCTACATGTAGGATGTCCCTTATACACAAAGATAACACTAGATCATGCTGCTGTTTTTCTAGTAGTGCTAAAGGATATTCTGATTTACGCAAATTCTTAGTGGATCATCCTTAAAATAACTGGCACACATTGGCTAGAGGGCTGGTTAGGTTTAGGAATATGGTCTGTGACCAGAGAATAAAACAAAAGTGCTTAGCTTATACAAGGATCAAACTCTTAACCTTTGTTTTATTAACACACTAGACTATTTAGATACCAAGTAAGCCAATAAGTATAACATACTAGGCTTGTAAATAGAGTGTGTGTGTGTGTGTGTGTGTGTGTGTGTGTGTGAGCCCTTAGAGAAAAGCAAAAGATTGCTGTTGTTACTGGTTCAAAAAGGTTTCTTCCCAATAATAAAAGTCACTATGCTCACCCTCTACACAATCTGGACAATATTTAGGTCACTGCAAGCATATTACTTTTACCTGCCTAGTCCAGTCTCTCTGGTAAGAAATCACAAGTCCGTAGAACAGAGGTGGGGAACCTGCAGCCTCAAGGTCACATGTGACCTTCTAGGTTCTCAAGTTCAGCCCTTTGACTGAATCCAAACTTCACCCTTCTTCCCTTTAATAAAAGGATTTGTTCTGTAAAACTTGGACTCAGTCAAAAGGCTGCACCCAAAGACCTAGAAGGCCACATGTGGCTTCGAGGCCACCGGTTCTCCATCCTTGGCATATGGGTTAATGAGTGGCCAAGGAGATAGTAAGAAGTTTTCTTTGCAAATAATCTGAACGACATGAATTTTGGGACTCTGTTGTATGTATTTGTTCTATGTGAGTGTGTATGTGTATGTGTATGTGTATATATTATATACATAAATGTGTGCATATCAGAACCACTGTTAGTATTTCCATATTAGTCATGTTGTGAAAGAAGAAATAGACCAAAAGGAAAAAAAACACATAAAAACATAAGAAAGTGAAAATAGTATGCTTCGATCCACATTCAGAGTCCCTTAGCTCTTTCTCTGGATATGGACAGCATTGTTTCATCATAAGTCCTTTATGATTGTCTTGGATCATCATATTGCTGAGAAAAGCTAAGTCATTCAGAGTTATCATTACACAATGTTGCTATTACCGTGTACAATGGTCTCCTGGCTCTGCTCATTTCACTTTGCCTCAGTTCATGTAAGTCTTTCCAGGTTTTTCTGAAATCTGCCTGCTCATCATTTCATATTGCACAGTAGTATACCATCATATTTACATACTACAGCTTGTTCAAACACTCCCCAATTAATGAGCATCCCCTCAATTTCCAACTTTTTGCCACCACAAAAAGAGCTGCTATAAATATTTCTGTACATGTAGGTCCATTTACATTTTTTTATGTTCTCTCTGGGATAGAGACTTAGTAGTGGTAATTGCTGGATCAAAGGGTAGGCACAATATGGGTTGCCCTTTGGGCATAATTCCAAATTGCTCTCCAGGTTAATGTTTTCCAAAAGAATAGCTCCAAAGAAGTTAAGAAAATAGAAAACCATTCTTATACTAATGTGATCAGTATCACAAATAAATAATAAATCTCAAGCATACATGTACATATGTTACCAAACATACCTTTGATTTGTGCGCCTGATGAATAATCTTCATTTTATCTGAAAGAAGAATAAAGTCTTATAAATTATTACAATGGATTTTTATTTTTGGCAAGTTTAAAAATTGAGAAATCTGTATGCTTGCGCCTTTTCTATAAAAGGCAAGTAGAACTGAGAAAGAGCAATCAGAAAAATGCCAGGTTTATTTTAAAATTTGATACCCTGTGTAAGAAAAAGTAACTTTTTCAATTTTTAGAATTCCAGATCTATGAAAGCATTTTATAAGGCTCTGTTGGATCACATATTTTTATTATGTGAAATATACCACTACTTTAACCCAATTCTGTACATTTTCCTTTAGAGTAAGAGATAAATGAACAACACTGCTTTTTCTTATTTTTCAACCTTTGAAGTACAGGAGTAGCAAACACCTCCAATTTCAGCACAAGTTTTAAGGATTTTAAAAGCATGACATAAACACAAGTGATTCAAAATATCTGTTTCACCACAGAAACAAAAAAAAAAAATCAACTGAGTACACTGTTGAGCATTACTAGAATCAACTGAAAAACTAATCAAAACAATTAACAATTCTAACAAAGTTGCAGGATATAAAATAAACCTACAAGAATCATCAGCTTTTCTATATATTATCAACAAAACCCAGCAGGAAGAGAAAGAAAGAGAAATTCCATTTTAAAAAACTGCAGACAGTATAAAATGCTTAGGAGTTTACCTGCCAAAACACACAAAGGAATTATATGAACACAATTACAATATTCTTCCCACAAATACAGATCTTAACAATTGGAGAAATATTAATGGCTTATGGGTAGGCTAAGACAATATAATAAAAATTACAATACTATAAAAATTAATTTACTTATTCAGTGCCATACCAATCAAACTATCAAAGAATTGTTTTGTAGAGGTAGGAAAAAAAATAACAACAAAATTCACCTGGAGGAATAAAAGGTCAAGAAAATCAAGGGAATCAATTAAAAAAAAAAAAAAAGGAAAGGAAGGCAGCCTAGCAGTACCAGATGCCAAACTATATACAAGTGGTAATCATCAAAACAATCTAGTATGGAAAAAGAAATAGAATGGTTGATCAGTAGAATATAAAGAAGTAAATGGTCACAGTAATCTAGTGTTTGATGAACCCAAAGATCCAAACTTTTGGGACAAGAATTCACTATTCAACAAAAACTGCTGGGAAAACTAGAAAGCAGTCTGGCATAGACCAAAATCTCACACTACATATCAAGATAAAGTCAAAATGGATACGTCATTTAGACATAATAAGTGATGTAAGCAAATTAGGGGAACATGGGGAAAGAAGGATAGTGAAGATCATGGAAAGTAAAATGGAAAATTTTGATTGCATTAAAATTAAAAATGTCTGCACAAACAAAACCAATACAGCCAAAATTAGAAGGAAAGTAAGAAACTAGGGGGAAATTTTTACAACAAGTTTCTCTGATAAAGGTCTCATTTCTCAAATACATAGAAAGCTGAGCCAAATTTATAAAAATAAGAGCCATTCCCGAATTAATAAATGGTCAAAGGATATGAACAGGCAGTTTTCAGAAGAAGAAATCAAAGCTATCAATAATCATATGAAAAAACTGGAAATATGTTTTACATGACTTCATATGTATAATATGTATAATATTTCTTACCTTCTCAATAGGTGGGGGAGTGCAGAGAGGGAGAAAATATGGAACTGAAAATTTTTTTTTAATTTTAAAAGGAAAGAAAAGTGCATTACTACCATTTTACTTCTTAAATGCCAAATACAAATATTATAAAGAACCATTCTAATCTCCATAAGGCTTCAGATACACTAAAAAGTACTAACCTCTACTTTGCGATATATCAATACAGTTTCATGTCACCTTACACCAACCCATCTGACTACCTTGATACCCCCCCATGCAATTCCATTATAGTTAAATCAAAGCAGCAATGTTTTTCCTGCTCAGAAACATAAAAAATATTGCCTAAGTACAATAAAAATTAGGGAAATAGATATTGATTTCTTTTTAATTTTATTTTTTAATATTAGCTGCTCCTCCCACCCCCCACTGCAAAGAAATGAGAAAACAAGAAGAAAAATAAAACTTTTAATAGTCAAGCAAACATGTAATCAAGCAAAACAAATTTCCACATTGGCCACTTCCAAAAAAAAAATATATATATATATATACACACACACACACCCACACACACACACTCATGCATATATGTGTATGTAAAATCCCTTCTCCACACTGGGTCTTTCACCTGTCTATTAGGAAGTGGGTAGCAAATTCATCATTAGTCTTCTGAATCATGGTTGGTCATTATTAGAAGTCCTAATATTCTCAATTTTTTTTTCTTTATCATATTGTTGTTGTACAAACTATTCTCCTGGACTGTTCACTTCACTGTGAATCAGTACATACAACTCTCACCAGGCTCCTCTGAAATCATCCACTTTATTTCTTTTTTTTTTTTAATGGTAATTTTTATTTATTTTTTTTGTTTTCAACATTTACTTCCACAAGATTTTGAGTTCCAAATTTTCACCCCATCTCACCCCTCCCCCCACCCCAAGATGTCATGCATTCTAAATACCCCTTCCCCTAGCTAGTCTGCCTTCCCTTCTCTCTCTCCCCACTTCTCTTATCCCCTTCCCCTTCAATTTTCCTGTAGGGCAGGATGGATTTCTGTACTCTACTTCCTATATTTCTTATTTACCAGTTGCATGTGAAAACATTTTTTTTAAACATGTGTTTTTAAAACTCCGGGTTTCAAATTTTCTCCCTTCCTCCCTCCCCACCCACCCTCATTGATAAGGCAAGCAACTAAACATAGGTTACATATGTGCAGTTATGCAAAACACTTCCATAGCAGACATGCTGTGAAAAACTAACTCTATTTCTCTTAATCTTATCCCACCCACCCATTTATTCTATTCTTTCTTTTGACCCTGTCCCTCCTCAGAAGTATTTGCTTCTGATTACTCCCTTTCCCAATCTGCCCTCCTCTCTATCATCCCCCTACTCTCTTGACCCCTTCCCCCCCCTCCATTTTCCTGTAGGGTAAGACAGATTTCCACACCCAATTGAGTGTGTATGTTGTTCCCTCCTTAAGTCAAATCCTATGAGAATAAGAATCACTCATTCCCCTCTCACCTTCCCCCGTTCCCCCTCCACTGTAAAAGCCTTTTCTTTTGTTTTTTTTCTTTTTGTGTGGGATAATTTACCCCATTCTACCTCTCCCTTTCTCCTTCTCCTAGTATATTACTCTCTCACCCCTTAATTTTATTCCCCAGATATGACCCCTTTATTTTTAACTCACCCTGTGCCCTCTATCTATCTATATCTATATATACGTACATATAATTTTTCCCCTCAAACTACCCTAATACTGACAAAGGTCTCAGAGTTACAAATATCATCTTTCCATGCAGGAATGTAAACAGTTCAACCTTAATAAGTCTCTTATGCTTTCTCTTTCCTGTTTACCCCTTCATGTTCCATTTGAGTCTTGTATTTGAAAGTCAAATTTTCTATTCAGCTCTGGTCTTTTCATCAAGAATGCTTGAAAGTCCTCTATTTCACTGAATGACCATTTTTTACTCTGAAGGATTATACTCAGTTTTGCTGGGTAGGTAATTCTTGGTTGTAATCCTATCTCCTTTGCCCTCTGAAATACTATATTTCATGCCCTCTGGTCCCTTAATGTAGAAGCTACTAAATCTTGTGTTATCCTGATTGTGCTTCCACAATATTTGAATTGTTTTTTTCTGGATGCTTATAATATTTTCTCCTTGACCTGGGAACTCTGGAATTTGGCTACAATATTCCTAGGAGTTTTCCTTTGGGGATCTCTTTCAGGAGGAGATCGGTGGATTCTTTCAATTTCTATTTTGTCCTCTGTTTCTAAAATATCAGGGCAGTTTTCCTCGATAATTTCTTGAAAGATGATGTCTAGGCTCTTTTTTTGATCATGGCTTTCAGATAGTCCAATAATTTTTAAATGATCTCTCCTGGATCTATTTTCCAGGTCAGTTGTTTTTCCAATGAGATATTTCACATTGTTTTCTAATTTTTCATTCTTTTGGATTTGTTTTACAGGGTCTTGATTTCTCATAAAGTCACTAGCTTCCAATTGCTCTATTCTAATTTTTAAGGAAGTATTTTCTTCAGTAATCTTTTGGACTTCCTTTTCCATTTGGCCAATTTTGCTTTTTAGGGCATTCTTCTTCTCATTGGCTTTTTGGACCTCTTCTGCCATTTGGGTTAGGCTATTTTTTAAGGTGTTATTTTCTTCAGTATTTTTTTGGGTCTCCTTTAGCAAGCTGTTGACTTGTTTCTCATGATTTTCTTGCATCACTCTCATTTTCCTCTACTTCTCTTACTCTTCTCAAAATCCCTTTTGAGCTCTTCCAAGCTGGGACTGATTCATATTCTTCTTGGAGGCTTTGGATGTAGGAGCTTTGGCTTTGTTGTCTTCCTCTGGTTTTGATCTTCTTTGTCACCAAAGTAAGATAATATAGTCTGACTCTTTTTGCGCTGCTTATTCATGATCCCGGCCAATTACTTGAGTTTTAAACTCTTTGTTAAGGTAAAAGTCTGCTTCCAATGTGAAGAGTGTACTGTCCCAAGCTTCAGGGTTTGTACAGCTGTTTTCTTCCAGGTACTTCCAGGGACCTGTAAATTTTCAGTTCTTCCAAGGTGCTATGATAAGGTGCAAGGTGTTTTCTCTCCACCACCACAACAAGCTCCACCACACCAGCATTCCTCTTTGCCCCAGGATCTCCCCTCAGAACTGTGACCCAGATCCAAGCACAGGTAAAGCAAGAGATTCCTGCCTCAGCACTGGCAAAGAGATCCCTGCAATCCCCCTCTGATCAGCCCCTCGATTCCCCCTCAGTCTGTGGGCCGGAAGCTCAGGAAAAAGCTGCGGCCCCGGGCCACACTCGAGACTTGCAGCTGGGACCCTGTGCTCCTCTCTCATCACAGTCACAGACTTTTCCCACTTACCTTCTAAGTTGTCTTTGGCGTTCAGGGGTTGAGAAGTCTGGAAACCGCCACAGCTGCCCACAATTCAGTCCCATCCACTTCATTTCTTACAGGATAATATATTCCATCACATTTATACACTATAACTTATTTATTCCCCAATTTACGGGCAATCCCTAAGATTTTCAATCTTTGCCACCTCAAAAAGAGCTATAAATATTTTCTGTACATCCTCAGAGTCTGTTTTACTCAGGACTGTTTCCTCATCTGATTCATCCTCCCTCCAAATCCCCCTTCTCCCTTTTCAGATGAGAATGAGATTTAAATGTCAGCTGCTCCCCACTTCCTTCTCTCTGTACGGATATGCACTTGTGTACCCTGATTATGTGAGATAATTTTCCCTAACTTTCCTTTACTTCTCTCTCACCTCTAGTGTATTCTTCTTCCCCTCTCTTCCCATTCTTCTCTTAAGATTAGAATCACTCTAAAGCCTTGTCTAATTAAGACTCTGGTTATGACCCATGATGATGCCAGGGTTCAGAAAGGACACAATTATCATCATCCTATATCAGAATGTAAGCAGTTTATCCTACTTTTAGTCTTTCATCACTGCTGATTGTTTTGGGGTTTTTTTTTTTTAAACCAGTTTATGTTTCTCTTCACTCCCATGTTTGAACTTCAGAGTTTCTATGCAGCTCTGTTCTTTTCATTAGCAATGCCTGAACCTCCAATTCATTAAAAATCCATTTTCTTCCCACGCAGTATTATAGATCATACTCAGTTTTTGTTCTTTGCCTTCTGGAATATCACATTCCAAGTTTTCTACTCCTTTATATTGGTAGCTGCTAAATTGTGTGTGATCTTGACTGTGGTTCTTTGGTTCTGGAATTCTGTCTAACTGCTTGAAGTATTTTTTCTTTGACCTGGAAGCTCTGGATTTTGGCTATAATACCCCTGGCAATTTTTATTTTAGGTTTGTTTCAGGAGGCAATAGAATTCTTTCCATTTCCACTTTGCCCTACAGTTCTAAAAGATCTGGACAGATTTCTTTAAATAAACATTTTTAACTCTTTTTTCTAAACCCTTCCTTCATCTCTTCCAAGAATGCTACTTGAACTTCGGCCAAAGCTGTGTTTTTTCTTGAAGCTTTGCTTACGGTTGTTTTGGAGTCATTCTCTATTTCTGGGTTTTTATCTTGAGCATCCTTGCCATCACAGACATATATATTTCAATGCACAGTAAACAAAAAAATGCAGAAGGGGTAGACACAAACAAAAAGGGCAGTTTTACTACTACCTTGTTAAATTTAATATATATGCTGCTTAAAAAACAAACTACAGAACAGTAATTCAGTTTCTTATACAAACCTCTTCCTTTTTTTTTATATTGAAATGCTTACTTACTAATGATTAATTTAATAATAAAAAAGAAAGTTTTAATGAAAGATATGAAGCCAGAAATGGAAACAACGAACATAAAGAGTCAGTAGGAAGGCCTAGAAGGACAATGTGATGGATGCAAGACAACATATCAAGAAGGAAGGAGAGACCAACAGTGCCCAATACTACCAAGAGGTCACATGGATAAAGATACTGGCAAAGTCATTGAATTTATCAACAGAGTGGTCATTAGTGACCTTGGAGAGAACTGTTGATGAAAAACATCATAAAATGCATTTTAAAGTAAAAAATAACTAGGGTTTGGTTTTGCCTATGACTTTCTTAGTACAGGAAACTCCCTCAACCAATGGAGACCAGCAGCTGTTCTGCAACTTATAGTGGTAAAATTGTCCAGAGCACTGAGACGTGAATTGGTTTGCCCAGACTTACAGTATTAGTATGTCAAAGATAGGGTAAATATGTATAGTTACCCGCTATTTATAATCATCCATTCTCCTCCAAGAGAACAGATTGAACTGTAAGCACACAGGAGTTTGTTTCCTCCATTTGTGGCATCTTGGAGAAACTGGCAAGCATTCTCTGATAAGGGGAATTCAAAAGCTGTCTGGAATCCAGCCCCCCAGGTTATTAATCCCAAAAGTTTGACTTGAAAACATCTATATGTTCTATAGATTTTGCTAGTGTTTCTTTAAATAGCAATAATTATCTTTCTGGTATGTCCTAGTATATTTTGTAACACCACATTGGAGGACTCCATTTGTTGACTTTAAAAAAACTCTTTGAGCACAAAATCTCACCAGATATTTTTAACCTATAATAGAACCTTGTACAAGAAGGGAAAGGGAGTAAGAAGAAACAGTTAACAACAGAAAGAAATAGCTACAAGATCACTGCAACACTGTTTCCATCTCTGTAATTTGTTTTTCTTTCCTTCCCTTCTGTTCTTACTCTTAAAGGCATTCTTAACATTATGAGTAACAAAATACATAGGATCTGTGTATATTATTCTCTTTCCTCTTTTTCTTGGAAAGCTAACACCTTAGCAAAAACCTAAATTTATCTCCTAAATTTACTAAATTTCTCAATGTCTAATATAATACTGTGCTTCACAATAGACAATAAATACTTAATGATAACATGTCAGAGAATTGAGAGTTGGAGATTCGTTCCTGAGCAAAAAACAAGATTTTAGATGTACATTCATCTGGTTTTGGCATTTTCAACAGTCTATCACAATACTACGTTTCATCATTGGCAAGTAAAGGCAGAGGTGCCAATATGCCTATTTTTTTAATAGTGTAAAACACTGGAGGAAAGAATGTGAATAAGGTAAAATAATACTAAGTATATTTTAGCTCCCACAGTGCACAGTAAGCATTTCAATGCATCACTTTATCCAAAATTTATCAAAATTATGTATATGGTATTTCTGAACTTTAAAGAATATGAGAAAGGGAAACAGTATATAACAAGTATAATTTGAAAATGTCTCTGCAATTGATTCAGGTTTAATATTGTATCTCAGACTATTTTATTTTGAAAGCCGCATTTAAGAAGTCTCATATTTACCTTAACCATGCTTTTCACTTCATTCTCCGATTTAATATTTATTATGTAAATTCTTTAAGAACATAAATCTAAGGATTTTCCACTCACTGCCTTCACCTCCTGCTTGACTACCCCTTGTGACCTCACAATTAGTCTCTAGATATTAAAATGCATAAGCACGGAGAGAACTGTGATTTCAAAGTATTTGGGGTCATAAGTTGCTCTACACCAAATGGCAACAAAGTTAAAAGCCACTCAAAAATGATTTAAAGTAATAAAAAATTAATATTCTCAAATGGCTCAACCAAATAGGAGAAATATTTGTTATATGCATCATAACCTTCAAGTAAATACTCAAACTTTATGAACGATCCTAAATTATAGTATCCTAAATTATAGTATCCTAAGTTATAATTCTTTAACACTTCCACTAAGGTATACATATATTGATATATACTTGCCATTTGGTTCTGCTTACAAATATTAACTTCATATTTGTACACTACATATTTTAATTCAATTCAACATAAAACAAAATATCATATTATACTAAATTTACATTTTTTAAGAATTAAGAAAATTAACATACCATATTTATAATGCTTGAATGGGGGTGGGAGGCCTGTCCTTAAAGGGACATCTACAAGAGAAAAAGTTAAAATGAAAAATTTTTTGTACAAATACATTATCAGTCATTGAAAAGCTTTTGAACAAACAAAATGAAAGTAGCTAGAATAAAAAAGGCAAACTTGATGAGGAAAACATTTTTTCATCAAATATCTCTAATGAGGTTCTGATATCCAAGATATATATATAGATAATAACACAAATATATAAGATTAAAAGCCACTTCTCAATGGATGAATGGTTAAAGCATATGAATAAACAATTCTCAGAGAATTAGAAACTATTCACGATCATATTAAAGATTGTTTCAAATCACTAATAATGAGAAAAATGCAAATCAAAACTAACGCTAAAGTTTCATCTCACATCTAGCAATTTGGCAGATAGAAATATAGAAGGCAGAAGATAGAAATTATCAGTATTAGAGGGGTTATGAAAAGACAGTGGGTAGAGTTAATAATCAGTTCAACTGTAGTGAAAGCAATATCCTAACGTCCCCAAACCTCATACAGTTAGGCTAGTTTTTCCTTAAAAGGCAATGAAACCACCCTCAAGACCTAACTGTTACAGGGAACTGAAGGCTCAGGCCAATGGCATCACTTTCTAGTTGCCTGATAACAAAATAGCCACAGGAGCTCCAGGGACTCTCTGATGCTTAGCAGATGGGCTACAATGGGCCACTCAGAAGCAGGGAAGATTCATTCAGTTGAATCTACTTGGGGAGTTCTCAATGTATCTTTCTCACTTATCCTTCTGCTATTGCTAAAGTCCCTTTTGTTAACTGCTGAACGATGCATGAACATTTCATTTCATTTGCATATCAAACATAATCTATCAGGGGACAGATGAGTGAGGTACCCAGTCTAAAACATCATCTATTCTGGAAAGCAAATTGGAATTACGCCAAGAAAATTACTAAAATGCCCCTGCCCTTGGACCTAGAGTTCCCACTGCCACACATGTACCCCACAAGGAAATCAAAGGCAGAAAAATCCTATATATATACCAAAATACTTAAAGCAGCCACTGGGGGGAGGGAGGGCAAAGGAGGTGTAACAATGAGCTGGAAACACAATAGGTACCAATCATTTGCAAAATGGCTAAAGAAATTATGGTATATAAATGTAATAGAATATTATCATGACAGTAAGAAATGAAAAAATATAAAGAATTCAAAGAAGCCTGTGACAACTTACTATACAGATGCAGAATGAAATAAGCCAAAGCAGAACAATGTAATAAGCAATGTAAATGGAAAAACAAAAAACTAAACTAAACACTGTCTAAACAAAATGACCATGTCTGGCCCCACACAGAGGAAGTGACAAAATGTACTTTCCTCTTTCATTGCATAAATAGGTGATTCACTATAGGTGTAAAATAGCATATATCGAACATAAAAGATGTGTTATATTTCAGTCATGTCTGACTCCTCATAACCCCATTTAGGGTTTTCTTGGCAAAGATATTGAAGTGGCTTGCTATTTCCTTCTTCAGCTTATTTTACAGATGAGGCAACTGAAGCAAACAGGGTTAAGTGACTTGCCCAAGGTGACATAACTACTTAGTATCTGAGGTCACATTTGAACTCAGGAAGATCCTGACTCCTGGACCAGTGCTCTCTCCACTGCACCCCCTACCTTCACTGCATAGTTTTACTAAGTTTTTTTTTTTTTAATCTTTATTACAAGGGACAGGCTTGCTGCATAAGGGAGGCAATAGAGATATATTTGGAAAGGAATATGATATTTTTTAAAAAGACTTCAAAAAAATTTTTACTGAATTCATAATGGATATATTCCCTCTTATTAATTCTTTCACTAAATAACTAACTTGCTTTTAAAAATAAGTATTTTTAAAAACACATATAATATGTATATATAGATATGTAACTTACCAAAAACAACAGTTTACCTCAATAATCTTTTTACTCTCATTTGTATAAAATTATGCCATAGCATACCACAGAATGCAATCACAGCCTCAAAAATTTGAAAGGGTCCTGAGAGACCACTTAGTCCAATTTGTACTTGAATAAGAATCCTCTCTATGACATGCCCCAAAACTATTTTGCTTACAAAATCTGGGGGACAAAATACTCTCATCTTCAGTGAAAGAGAACTCCACCATCTCCCAAAGCAAACTATTCCACTCTGGGACAGTGCTAATTAACTGGATGATTTTCCTTAAATCAAACCTAAATTTGCCTCTTGGAAAATTCTATGTCTTGCTCCTAGTACTGATAGAGGTAACATAAACTGGTCCAACTAATCTGAAAACAATTTGGAATTTTACCAAGAAAATTACTAAACTGTACATACCTTTTGACAGAGCAGTAACACTACTTGGCATATAAGTAGGTTAGGAACAAAAGGAAAAATCACATGTATTTTTAAATGGCGAAAAGAAAAGAAAGCAGGTACCCATGGATTGGGGAAAGGCTGAATTGTGGTATATAAATTTAATAGAATAATACTACTGTGCTGCAAAAAATGATGAATAGAAAGAATTCAGGAAAAAACTTGGGAAGACCTATAAAAAGAACAGAAAAGGAAACAAATTTCCTTGATGACCACAGTCGTGTACAACCTAGTAATACAGCTAAAGTAGAATTTCCTAGAATAATCATAGGATATCAGATAAACCAATAGACATGCCCATATATCTTTTATATGACAGTTGGTGTTCGTCAAATATTATACCAAAATAAGTTCCTCATCATATACTGGTGAATCTGAGACCTCAAATAAATCTTTTTTTTCTTTCTCTCTTTTTTGTTGCGAGGCAATCGTGGTTAAGTGACTTGCCCAGGGTAACAGCTAGTAAGTGTCAAATGTCTGAAGCCAGATTTGAACTCAGGTCCTCCTAACTCCAGGGCCAGTGTTCTATCTACTGCGCCACTTAGTTACCCCTGGCAAATCTTTCTATCACTATAAGTATCAGTTATCCCAACTGTAAAATGTGGCATTTGGTACTAAACAATACCCAATCCCTTCCAGTTTTAACTTTTTTAGTCTAAGATGGAGAAAACTGGACAACAGGACAGAAAAGTTGGATTCTTCATTGGTTGACCATCCATACCACTAAGAATATCAATCCATGTTAAGCTGGAAGACTCTAGCTCTTGTCCTCCCAATGTCCTTCATTGCATACCTAACACAACAAGAATATAAATTCACTAAAAACAGAATTAATGCTCTTGTGCTTATAAGAACCTTATTATTTCTAGTACAGAGAGATGACTTTTTTTTTAAAGCAAATGACAGTTTCTAGCAAATCACTGGGGTTCCTGACTCTCAGTAATCCTTTGGGCCCCAAATGAATAATGAACATCTCTTACTGGACCTGCTGGCATGCTCATTTAACTTAGCTGTTGACCATTCCACAGACAGACTCTACTTTGAGGAAGAAAACCTCCCCATTGTCAACTTCCAAATGTCGGAAGACTATTATCATGTAACCTTCCTAAACCTTTTCTTCTCCTAGATCAATATCAAAATGTCCTGCAACTGTTTCCTAATATATGACATGGCTTCAAGTCCCATCATCACCCCTAACAATCCTCCTTTGAATGTTAGGATCACAGAATCATAGACCTAGAGAGAGAAGGGACCTCAGAGATCACCCTACCTTTCCATTTCACAAATGAGAAAACAGAGGTCTAGGGAGACTAACTTGTTCAAATTCAAACAGGTAGTAAATACTGAACACAGGTCTTCTAACTCCAGAAACAGGGCTCCTTCCACTGTGCTACCCAGCATCCTACCAACTTGTCAATGTGCCTTTTAAGAAGTCCTATTCAAATCAAACAGAAGTGATGTTTTAACCAGTGTATAGAATAGCAAAGTTATCATTTCTCTTGTTCTGGACACCATACTTTTGTTAATGCGTACTAAAACCATACAGCTTTTTAGGTAACACATCATACTGGTGACATACTGACTGCCAAATCAGAAGTTTCTGTCTAGGTTAATGTTTTTTAAAAAAGAGAAGAAAACCAAATCATTAGTATCAAAAAAGAAAAGGGTAAATATGTCACTAATGAAAATGAAATGAAAGTAATTATTAGGAGTTATTTTGCCCAATTATATGCCAATAAATTTAACAATTTAAATGAAATGGAAGAATACTTACAAAAATATAAACTGCCTAGATTAACAGAAGAGGAAATAGGATACTGAAATAAATCTATTTTAGAAAAAGAAATTGAACAGGCCATAAATGAGCTTCCTAAGAAAAAAGCATCAGGGCCAGATAGATTTACAAGTGAATTCTACCAAACATTTAAAGATCAACTAATTCCAATGATAATAAATTATTTGTAATGATCCTACCAAACTTCTTTTATGAAACAAATATGGTGCTGATACCTAAACCAGGAAGAGCAAAAACAAAAAAAGAAAATTAGAGACCAATTTCACTAATGAGTATGGAAGCAAAAATCCTAAATAAAATACTAGCTAGGAAACTACAACAATAAATCACAAAGATTATACACTGTGACCAAGTGGGATTTATACCAGGAATGCAGAGATGGTTTAACATAAGGAAAACTATTAACACAATTGATTATGTCAATAATAAACATAACAAAAAACGCGATCATATCAATAGATACAGAAAAAGCATTTGACAAAATACAGTACTCATCCCTACTAAAAACATTTGAAAGGGCAGCTAGGTGGCACAGTGGGTAAAGCAACGGCCCTGAAGTCAGGAGGATCTGAGTTCAAATCCAGCCTCAGACACTTGCCACTTAACTAGTTGTATAACCCCGGGCAAGTGACTTAATCTCTGTCTGCCAAAACATTTTTTTTGCCTGCCAAAAACAAAACAAAGCAAAAAACAAAACAAAAACAAAAAACTTGAAAACATATGCATAAATGGATTGTCCCTTAAAATGATAAGAAGCATCTAACCAAAACCACTAGCAAGCATTATTTGTAATAGTGATAAGCTAAAAGCCTTCACAGTAAGATTAGGAGTGAAACAAAGATGCCCATTATCACCAAAACTGTTCAATACTGTATTAGAAATGCTAGCAACAGCAATAAGAGAAGAAAAAGAAATTGAAGGAATCAAAATGGGCAATGAGGTAATAAAACTATCTCTCTTTGCAGATGATATGATGATATATTTGGAAAATCCTAGGTTCAACTAACAAGCTAGTTGAAACAATAATTGTAGCAAAGTAGCAGAATACGTAAAATAAATCCACATAAATCATCAGCATTTCTATATATCACCAACAAAACCATACAAGAAGAGATAGTAAGAGATATCTCATTTAAAATAACTGTACACAGCATAAAATACCTAGGAGTACACTTGTCAAGACAAACCCAGGAATTACATGAACATAATTATAAAATACTTTTCATGCAAATAAAGTCAGATTTAAATATTTGGACAAACATTAATTGTTCATGGGTGGGCAGAGCCAATATAATAAAAATGAGAATTCTACCTAAACTAATCTACTTATTCAATGCCATCCCAATTACCAAAATATTACTTTGTTGAGCTAAAAAAAATAATAATATCAAAATGAACAAAAACCAAAAATAACAAATGAATTAATGAAAAAAAAAGTAAAGGAAGAAGGTTTAGCAGTACCAGATCTTAAACTAGATTATAAGGCTAATTATCAACACTATGGTACTAGCTAAGAAACAGAAAAATAGATCAGTAGAACAGAGTAGGCAGACATAGAATACACAATATGCATACAATATACTGTTTGATGAAAGTGAAAATTCAAGCTTTCAGGATAAGAATTCACTGTTTGGTAAAAATTGTTGGGAAAACTGGAAAGCAGTCTGGCAGAAATTGGGTATAGGTTAACATCTTACACCATTTACCAAGATAAGGTCAAAACGACCTAGATATAAAGGGAGATATTATAAGTAAATTAGAAGAACATAGAACGTATTACCAATCAGATTTATGGATAGGAGAAGAATTTATGAATAAACAAAAGATAGACAGCACTGTGGGATATAAAGTGGAGATTGCATTAAATTTAAAAGGTTTTGTACAAATAAAACCAATGTAGTCATGAATAAAAGGAAAGCAGAAAACTGGGGGGGGGAAATTTTAGACAATTTCTCAGACAAACATCTCATATCTCAAATATGTAGAGAATTTTGTCAAATTTATAAGAATATGAGTCATTCTCCAATTGATAAATGGTCAAAGGATATGAACAGGCAGTTTTTCAGTAAAGAAATCAATGCTACATATAGTCATATGAAAAAATGTTCTAAATCATTATTGATTAGACAAATATACATTAAAACAACTTTGAGATATCTCACAACTATCAGATTGGCTAAAACAATAAAAGAGGAAGATGACATGTGCTGGAGGAGGTGTGGGAAAATTGGGACACTAATCACTGTTGATTATGAACTATGAACTGATCTAACCATTTTGGAGAGCAATCTAGAATTACGCCCCAAGAATTATAAAACTGTGTATACCCCTTTGACCCAGCAATACCACTAGTAGTTCTCTTTCTCAAGGTAATCAGAAAAAAAAGGAAAAGAATCTAGATGTTCTAAAATATTTATAGCAGCTCTCTTTGTGGCAGATGGCAAAGAACTGGAAATTGAGGGGATGCTCAACAACTGGGGAATGGCTAAACAAGTCATGTGTATGATTGTGATGGAATACTACTGTGCTGTAAGAAATGATGAGCTGGTTGATTTTAGAAAAACACAAGACTTAACATGAAATAATGAAAAGTGAAATGAGCAGAACCAAGAGAACATTGTATACAGTAACAACAATATTGTTTGAAGAATAACTGTGAACAACTAAGTTATTCTCAGTATTTAAATACTCAAATCAACTACAAAGGACCTATGAAGATGCTATCCACCTCCAGAGCTATGTAAACCCATAGTATGTAGTTTTATGTGTATGTATGTGTGTGTGTGTGTGTGTGTGTGTGTGTATCTGTGTCAAATGGTGGCCTTCTCTAGTGCTTGGTGGTGAAGGACAGAGGGAGACAGTTCAGAACTTAAAAGGTAACCCCCCCAAAAAATTAATTTAATTAAAAAAAAAAAATTCTGTCCATTCCAGGTGTGTTCCCCCCACCCTTACTATTAGCAACCAATGACTAGCAGACGGTTCCATTTGAACAATTAACATCAATTCACTTTTACAAATGGATTTCTACTTCAAAGATACAGCAACATCAGAAGTACAGACTTTTCCCCATACCCACTTTAGGGGAACTCCCCTTGTATCACTTTGTCCCTAGGGCTCAGACTTAATGCAGTTCCCATCCAGCACTGATCAGACTAAATTCATGTCCATACATGGCATCACTGCTGGATGAGTCCCTGTCTCAGCTACTGATGGGTTGGTTCATACCCACAGTGCCCTTCATCTGAAAAGGGGGGGGTGGGTGCCTTCTCATCTCTTTTTTAGGGGCACCAAGTGTGGTTATTATAGTTTCACAGCATGTAGGTTCTATTGTTTTGATATTGTTGTTCTTTACTTTTTACTTTATTAAAGTTAAAATGTATTTTCAGTCATGCCTAGCAGGCCCCTTCTGAGTTTTCCCAAGTATAATGTAAGCTATTTAAAGGTAGACACTCTTTCATGTTTCTCCTCATATCCCTAGCACCTGTAGTAGTGTGTCCATTCATTGGAACTTCAGATATAGTTTATCACAGAAAAAAATATGAATAGTATTTGGAGTATAAGAGTTCTGCTACATTATGAGTTAAATGTGTCTTTTCAGGCTGGCCTGGGGATATCATCACCACTGGTAACACTGTTTCTTAGGGGAAATATGTTCTACAGTATTGGGCAGTTAGGAAGTACAAAAACACCTCCAACGCATCATCCCCCAACTCCAAAGCTAGTGGCCACTGGGGACCTGACATAAGTTGAGAAGGGAACATGATGGTTCAGGAACATTTATTCTTTCATTCTGAAATTTTGACATTTGAGCCTGACAATTTAAAAAACAGTGCTTTCTCTAGGAGACACTACACTCCATCACTGCTAATCCTCAAGTAGCCAAAGTAAAAAAGGAATATTCTCAAAGAGGTAAATTTAAATCCATAAAATTTAAAAATTTAGTTGAACAGGATAGCTATACCTCTTTAGTAATTATGTTAATAGCTTTTAGTTTTTTGTCAAAACTATTCTATTCCCTGGTAAAAGAGTCAGAAACTAAAACTAGAAAGGAGCTTCGAGATCATCTTCTCTACCTACCCAAATGTACAGATGAGGGAACTGAAGATGAAACTAGAGAGATGAAGGGCATCTCTTGGAGAACTAACGGTACCTAAATAAATTTAAGTGACTGAACCATCATATCAATCATATGTATTAGAAAACCCTACCCTTTTAAAGTCTTAATCACAACAAAAAGAGTAATAACTTCTTCCCTCAGTTATCTTTAACTCAAAAATGACAAAGTGAGGGAGACAGTGCTGAGGTAGGAAGGTCAAGGATGAAGAGCAAAAGGGAATATTTGGGTCCTCTAAAGGGTAATGCACATAAACTTCAACTTTGGGGAAAAAGAGGCAAAAACTACACAAAATGTCACAATGCTATGCAAATGCAATTATCCCTAATATGTACATCCCTGGCAAAAAACTTCTATTAATGCTAGTGACTAGAATATTTTTTACATGTACTGTAGCTATATCACATATCAAATATAAAGAACATGAAGCTTGATCTTCTCTGAACAAACCAATAACAGTAATCTTGCAAAAGTCCACAAATTAGCTTGGATTGGAATCGATATTAAGAAACATGACTATTACTAGAGCAATAATTGAGCTAATTGTTAACATGCTAATAAAATCATACCTTTTTTTAGGAATACAATAAACTCTTTTACAGTCTGGTCCAAATTAACTCCATGGTAAACAAGAGGCTTGAAATTGCGATGCTCAAAGGAACGAATCAGACGAACTGTAATCGTCGCCTTCTCAGAAGACATGTGAAAAAATTTCCAGGGCCAGCTAAACGCAGAAAAAACATGTAAAAATAAATAAATCATGATTGACCCAGACAAAATTAGCTTACGTCGTGCCAATTATTTCACTGAGTTCCAAGGCCACCTCCTTCTCTGGGTTGTGATACCAGGCCAAATTCCCAAACCTTCCCAACAATGTCAGAGGCTTTCTGACCCAGGATGCTCCTGGTTCTGCTACCTCAGAAAATTCTTTTTTTTCTTTTGGTGAGGCAATTGGGGTAAGTGTCTTGCCCAGAGTCACACAGCTAGTAAGTGTTATGTGTCTGAGGCCGCATTTGAACTCAGGTCCTCCTGACTCCAGGGCCCGTGCTCTATCTGCTGCGCCACCTAGCTGCCCCTACTTCAGAAAATTCTAACCAGAAACAATCTCAGTGCAAAAGAGAAGAAATGAGAGGAGAAGGGAGAATAAGGATCAAAAGTGCCACGCAACCATGGACATGAATTTTCAAATGGTTTATTTTAAATTATTTATGCTAATGCTTTGTTTCACAGCCAAAAATAGTTAACTATAATTTAAATGTTCATACATCAAGGGATTTCATTAAATGTGACTTAATGTTTACCCAAGATAATAGGTTTTAAGTAGTACCAAATGCAAAACCTATTTTTTTTTTACTTTCACTGCTCATCATATGGTACACATTCATAACCACTCCCCCTCAAAAAACTGATATAGGGATAAATATTTCAAATAGAGTAACTGAATCTATTTGGTACCAGTAGAAGCAATCTCAAACACAATTTGCATGATATACTCTATTTTTTTTTAAATAAAGGAAAAATGTGAAGAGGCAGTGTGATACAACAGAAAGACTATTAGCTTTGGAGTAAGAGGACCCAAGTTCAAATCTCAGCTTTGCTAATTATTACCTGGTATGACAATTGAGCCACTACCAATGCTTCTTGGTCCAAACCCTGTCCCTGTCTTCCAAGATATTGTCTTATGGATTATTCTCTTATCTTCAATATTTTCCAGTCCATTAGTTCTTTTGACACTGCCTACCACTATAGTCAGGTCTCCCTCATTCTTAAAAAACTTTCACTTGATCCTACCAAACCCATCAAGATTTCATCTTCTGTCTGGATTCCTCTACACTACCAAATTCCTAGAAAAAAATCAGCCACATTTTACTGCCTCTACATCCTCACTACCCCCTCAAATCTCCATCCCTTGTGAATCTTTTCTGATCTTACTTCCATCCTATTCATACTTAGTGTTCTCTCAAACTTCAAATAATCTTCTCTTTACTTGTATAAGCTATCCCTTATGTTGTATTTTTACTATTTAAGCATTTTTCTTTTCCTTCTTAAAATCTTTAAAGTATAGCATAGTACATTGCACATAATGCTTATAATAAATGCCTATTTGAATTTAATTAACTTAAAGATGCCTGAATCTATTTAAAAGCCCATATTTTTACATACTACAAGTAGCCCAAAATTTCTATTTATTATTTCATTTTCAATTTGAAACTCCAAATATATTTTAATGTCTGCCTAATCTTGACCAAAACAAGTACTTACATTTCCCTGTACCAAATTTTTCTTTACAAAGAGGGGAAAAAAAACCCTAACCTTTGTAACTATTTCACAATAGCAGCTGCTTACAGAAAGATTTATTGTGCCTTAGGGAGGGTATGTAAGCAAGCCATGCTTTGGGGGAAAATAAACACATTAGAAAAGATAGGAATGCTGACATTAACAGGTTGCCAAATTAGACAATATGTGTGCAGATTTGACTTATTTTAAGACCTAGAGTGTTTCATTTTAAAATATAGTATTCAATGGGGGTTTACTGAATAAAGAGAACAAAAATTCAGAGGTACATTATTAAATAGAGTATTGAATAGGAGGAAAATCTGTAAATGGAAAAGAAGTTCTTGATTATCTGGGCTAGATGAAGAGATCTATTTGATACTCTATTGATAATCCATTAGATACTAGGGACCCTGTTGGAAGGTTTCCCACAGATTTATTTATTTTTTGGGGGGGGGCTAGGCAATTGGGGTTAAGTGACTTGCTTAGGGTCACACAGCTAGTAAGTATCAAGTGCCTGAGGGTGAATTTGAACTCAGGTCCTCCTGATTCCAGGGCCAGTACTCTATTCACTGTGCCACCTACCTGCCCCACAGGTAGCTTTTCTATCACTGCCAGAATCTGCTTAAAGGCATAGGAAATCCTGATGCCATAATTTATTGCTGTTTTTCCAAGGAAAAAAAATAATTTCTGTGGCTGGGAAAGCAAACAAACAGACTTGGGATAGGAGGGCCTGGTTTTGAATCCCTGCTCTGCCACTCTACCTGTATGGCCTTCAGAAGGTCACTATACCTACTTACCAGTTTCGTCATCTGTAAAAATGAAGACATTTGACTAAGCGATCTCTAAGATTCTGTGCAATTCTAAATCTTATTGTACAGGAGACTGGCCAATGGGCGTCCTCACAGAACAAGTGCAGCATACCCTGCCTGCTGCCCAACCACAGACAGACTTAGTGAGCCTGCTTCTGGACACCCATTGCAGGGCCCTGCTCTCCACTGGTAAGCAGTCAGGCTTCGGATTGACTATTGAGACAAAACTGAAAATGCATGCAATCGATTTCTTCAACAGAACCAGGTGCTCCAAGGATCTTAGCCTTTCCAAAATGAAAGACTCTGTGAACCTCTGAAAGGGCGCATGGGCCATTTTCTTTTGAAAGTTAATCTTGTATATGATTTAGACATAAAATGTGATATCATAAGCAAACTAGGGGAGCACAGAAAGTTTTGCCTGTCAGATCTATGTATAAGGGAAGAATTTTGGTGACATAAAAAGACAAAAGATATCAATAAAAAGTTTTTTTAAATCATGTAAAATCATGAGAGATGTAATTAAGGAAGTATCTTTGTTCAATGATCTGCCACATATCAATATCAAGGAAACCAGCTGTGCCATATCTAAAGTCTTTGTTTATATTAAGAAGAATGTCCTATAAATAGTCCATCAGAAACAAAAAATATTGATAACTAGGTTCTCCAAATGTTCCATTATCCATAAAACAATGACTTCAATATAGTAAATGCCAAAACACTACAAAGAAACCCACTGTCATTCAGAAAAGGTCTACTTAACAATCTACACTTAAAAAGCAAAGAGGATGAAATTGTCTAGATTATGACATATATATGGAGAGATAATCCATTGCATATTAAATTGTGTATATATGTACCAAACTTAAAACAGACACAATGTATAGACAATGAGCTGAGCCCAGAACTGAATAGGAAATTTGACTATTTCACATTTGATCATAAGCACTTTCAACTATCCCAAACCGTTCACTGCAGCAAATGCTCATCATTTAACATCCACATTCTCCTGGTGATGTTACATGGCTGCAAATAATGCAATATGATGATTCTTCAGAAGAATCATGACCAAAATGGCCCAAAGAGCAACATAAAGGCACATGGTTTGGGTAAAAAGAAAATAGCACTATCAATCATAACTTGACTGCAAAAAGTAGAACGAGAGACATACAAGACAAGTGGTGGGCCTATATGTAGTGAGAGTAAAAGATAACAGGACAAACTGAATATTACACTAGTACCCATTAAAAACAAAAGTATCAAGAGAAAAACCTCCATCCCATTGGGTGAATCCTCTATGATGAATACATGGAAAGATAAAATCAACAACCTAACATGATAAGGAATGAGAGGGCTGAGATCTGTCCCAGCAGAGAAGTAGTACCCACAGTGATGAGATCACTGATACAAAGTAATAAATACTCTGATAATCTTTCTATAAATCCAATATACAATTTCATTTAAACTAGTTTTTTAGCTTGCCAATTACAGTAAATTTATATTTAAGATTAAAATCAAAAGCTATTAGTATTAACTTCATTATTAAACTACTCCAGCATGCTTAATAGTGTGGGGGTTTTGTGTGTGTGTGTACGTGTGTGTGTGTGTGTTTAATATGCAACTAGATATACACATCCACAGAATAGGTATAACAGTATGATATATAAATATGTGAAAAATGTTTTAACCTTTCTTCCACTGAGAATTTCATTCTAATCCAAACTAATGATATGTTTCTTTCTAGCACTAATTTTTAAAATTTTACATTTAATTCCAACTTTTGCAAAATAATACAAAACCAGTCATTATTTTGCATACTTTTTCATGGTGGTAAGTGGTGCAGTGAAAAGCCCTGGATTTGAAGCCTAAAGAAGTCAGGTTTGAATTCCAGCTGTGCCACTTACTACCTGGATGACCTTGGGCAAATTACTTAACCTCTCTTGGTCTCAGTTTGCTCATCTGTAGAACGAGTGAATTGAATGGAATAACCTCTAAAGTCGCTTCTGGTTCTAAATCTATAATCCAAGGATTAGGGCTTAAAGGCTAAACAAATTGCAGTACGTCAATGGAATGGATTTGGGTACCATACCATTAGAAATGATAAATATGAAGCTACAGCGAAGCATGGGAAAACTTAAGTGAATTGACATAGGATGAAATATCAGGAAAACAATATGCACAATAACTAAAACAACAAAATTGCATGCTATGTAATAACCAAAAAGGTTGACTCTGAAGAATTGAGTAAATATATCTCCCTTTTTTTTCCCAGAGGTAGGGGACTATGGGTATGGAATAATGCATATATACTGGCAGACTTGGTTGACGTGAGAGGGAATTTTTTAAACTGCTTTTTCTCTCTCTTTATTTTATTATATGAATTGACTCAAGCTAAAGGAGCAGTGGGGCTGGAGAACAGATATATTCCCAAATAAAGGTAAAATAAAAACAAAAATATTTCTTTTAATTTAAATTATTTTTGAAAGACAAAAAGTAAAGCCCTATAGCAGGTGTCCAGGAACTCAAGACAATTTTAAAAGCCACTCCTAATATAATAGAGTCTACAACATGCAGTTTCATCATCGGTTAGTATTAAACATTTTATTAAAACTTTCCTCCAGGGGCAGCCAGGTGGCACAGT